ACGAGTTTTCCCCGCGCCAATTTTATTTAAACGCGGTGGATGAAGTCATATTCGAGTCATATCTTCTCCAGAGAGGGAACTCTGCACGGATTTCGAACATCCATCGTGTTTATTTTCACGGAAAGTTAATTACTTTCGCGAAAGTTGGCGAGGCAAGGAGCGGTGAGCAAAACGCGCTGAATGTGCGATCGCGCCTGTTGGAACCTGTTTCGAGCAGTTTTTTCTTTTCTCTCTTTTTCACATAGTCCTTCACGTTCTTCGAAATAGAATATTATTAGGTGCGCAAATAATTTTATTTACGTAAATCGGGTACGAGATACCGTTCGTCCGGGACGAATTTTCGTCGAACTTTCTCGGTGCACGTGAACGATCGTCGTTTTCCAAACTTCCAAATCTTTGTCACCATCTTTCCGTAAGATACAGCGTTCGACACCCGATTTCCTAAGCCGGAACGCGCAAAAAGTAAACAGCGACGCGAACAACGCTTCTTGTACACCGTGTCACGTGAAATCGTTGCGCGGGACTGGAAACACACTTAGAGCGCTCCTCGCGAATCTTCTTAAAAACAAAAGCTGTTTCAGATGGCGCCACGAGTGGCAAGTAATTCGAACTCACAAGGATCGCTGATCGCGTAAACGTTGGACGAAAAGAGGAAACAAAAAGCGAGGAAATTCGAAAAGCGATGAGCTCTTTTCTCGATTCGTCTTTCCCGGGTCACGTTCACTCCCCTTCGGCCGAAGTCCGTAAAACGTCCAATTTCCGTGGAAACTGTAAAAACGCCACGCGGCGTTTCCATTCAATGGCTGCCATTCACGAGTTTTCCCCGCGCCAATTTTATTTAAACGCGGTGGATGAAGTCATATTCGAGTCATATCTTCTCCAGAGAGGGAACTCTGCACGGATTTCGAACATCCATCGTGTTTATTTTCACGGAAAGTTAATTACTTTCGCGAAAGTTGGCGAGGCAAGGAGCGGTGAGCAAAACGCGCTGAATGTGCGATCGCGCCTGTTGGATAGGCGCGACTGAGAGAGAGAGAGACGACTTTGGAACTGACTTGGCTCCTTCGTAACGATCGCTTTAAACGAGCTTATGGATTTCGCCGCGGTGACGAGGTGCGTCGAGCGGGGAGAGGAGTGTTTCACGTGCCGTTTCACGGTATTCCCCTGAATCTCTGAAACGGATCACGATCACGGAGGACGATCTTTGAAAATCTCGAGATGGAAAAATACGAGGGTTTCGTTCTCGGGAAATCTTTTTTCGAAGAAGAAGAAACGAGAAACACCGAGTGACAAATTTCGGAACGTTAGAATTTAACAGTGTTTTTCTCTCTCTCTCTCTCTCTTTCTCGGAGAAACGTTCAGCCAACAGGAAAACGAGGACAAATGGAAATCGTGTAAATCTTATTTACATATTTATACGAAGCTTTTATACAGTGGCAAAGAAAATGGCTCTTGAATTTTGTTTCTCTCGATGTCATTTCTTAAATGTATTTTATAGTAAGATACATGGCAACCACTTTGGCGCGAGATATGTGTATATATATATATATGTGTGTGTGTGTGTATATTTGGGGCGAGCGAAAAACAAAGAGCGCGGACGACACGTATTACGCGAGGTGGACAGAAGAAAGTGGAAATTCCGGGGCAAAAAGACGGGCGAAGGACAAAGGCGCGATGCAGCCACGTTAAATAATTTGTCCATCCTCCTCCTCCTCCTCCTCCTTCCTCGCGTGAAATTGTACGAGTTTTTTGTCGGCCCGTCTTGACTCTTGGAAAATTATTAATTCTACCGGAAACCGGTAGATGTTGCGTTCCTCCGGCCTTGATAAATAATTCCATCGGCGTCGGGAGAGATGGACGGCCATCTTTGACCGTCGCTGGAAGGCTTAACGGAATTCGAGAGGAAAAACTGGGGGAGAGCGTAATTTGTGCTCGAACGAATCTTTCTGAAATTCTCCGAAGTCTCGACAAGTTTCTTTCTTTAATTAAAAGCCGCGCTTGAATCAACCCGAGCAAAAACTACCAAGGATTTACGAAACAACGCGAGCGAATAGATAATCGCTTTATCTCGGATTATTTATTATATAAAGTCGAGGAGCGGATTTTATCCTCCGTCTCGAGACACTCGTCCAAAACTCTTGAACTTGAAATCCTTCGAAATGAATCGTCGATTATTTGGAAAAGAGGCTTACCGGCGAAGAAAAAAAAAAAATCGAAAATGGAATTCGGAATTGGGTTGGGATCGTTTCGAGGAATATTACGTGAGGCGCATACGCGGAGAAATAACGTGCCGGCCAACGACACAATTTCCCTAAATTTTTAACGATAATCGTTGCACGCGCACCGATACATCCGAGTCACGAAGAGGAGGGAAATGGCTGCATCTTGACGTGTGCTCTGTCTGCGCGCAAAAAAAGATATAATTCCTCGCCAGAAATGTCCCGATATATAGATTTTCCTCCTCGTGCCAAATGCAAAATATTCGCCGAGCCTTGTTTCGCCGCCGGTCTGGCAGAGACCAGCCTTTCCCTCCGCAATTCGTTTACGCGCCAACCAAGGCCCGATTGGCCCTCACGTTTGCCCAACGTGAATGGAAAACGGTAGTTTGCCGGTGGAACGATACAAATATAAAGTAAAAGACGGTGGCGGAGGGAGCCACTGTCGTTCGAGCGTGGCCCACGTTAATGGTGGGAACGACGAGGGAGCAAATTGGCGGAGAAAGTACGATAATCGGATCAACGAGATATGGATTAATTTTGCTCCCGAATATGCGAGGTCTCTCGTGTAATTTCCCGTTTTTGGCCAAATTCATGGTCGATGAATCGGGTCGAGGAGGGGGTCCCCTCCTCCTCGGAGATATTCGTTCCGAAACGTTGGCGAGCGTGGCCAATAGGATTAGCTAACTAGCGGCAAGATAGACCAGTTCTATGGACTCTGTGGAGAGAGAGAGAGAGAGTTAGGAAAAGATTAGAATACGGATTTGATATTCTCGCTTACGAGATTTCTCCCTTCTCTCTATTATCGATATTTAACGATCCTTTAACAGGGAAAATTATCATTTATACGATACTTAAAAGAGAGAGAGAGAGAGAGAGAGAGATAAATCTCGGAGCAATCGAATAATAAAAATTTCGTTGAACGTTGTTCGTTTGGTAGAAATATGGTAGAAACAATCGATGGAAAAAAAAAAAAAATTTGTCTTTATTACCATAACTGGTATCGAATCGTCCAGTGTTGTACAACGCGTATATACGCGTATCGTGTTCGGGTTGCCGTCAATTCGGACTCTCGCGATATTTATTAATCGATACGCGAGAACGGGGAGGGGAGAAAAAAAAAAAAGGAAGATGGCAAGCAACGCGAGCGATAAAAATACCGTTCTAAAAATATGGGTAACGGTATAGGCCAATATTCGTAATTCCTGAAATATCGGCAGCATTTACGCGACGTCCCCCCCCACCGATAACTTTTTCCCGGATAATACTATTTATCGTTAGTAATTCACGAATATACGAACCGGTGGCAATTTTTCGACAAATCGGCCGAAAGCCAAACACGCGACGAATTTCGGAATCTCTCTACTAATCGATCCAACGTAACGGTTTTTCCAACCACCGTTTTCCAAGTAAAGAGAAATGGAAATAGAAAAAGGAGGGGGGGATCGTGACTCGGCGATAACAACGGGAAGAAAGAAAGAAGGAAAGAAAGAAAGAAAGTTGGAGCGTGAAATAATCGTCGCACAGCGTGTAAAGGATCAAGGAAATTCGCGAGAATCCGCAACGTCCCCGCGAGGGCGAGATAGAAGAAAATGTACGCTCAGTGTGAGCGAATAGGGGAGCATGGTACAAATGGTGCATCCGGATGAGGAAGAAAATACCTATACATGCTCTTTCTCTCTCTCTCTCTATATATATATACACATACACGTATATGTATTTCTCTGTAGCCGGTACATCGTCGATGCATTGTACGCAGCCTCGGCTCGTACGTACGGACGGATATTCGTTCGCACAGGGATGGACAAACACGCACGGGTGAACAAATGCCGGTTGGATGGCGTGGAACGACAGCTCGATGATAGCGCGCACGGTCGCGGTTACGTATCGTTTCGACGCGTTCCAAGGGAAGCCAGGCGACGCAAGAAGACTCGATCTCGATAATTTCGTTTCTTTCTTCCTTCTTCCATTTTCCGCTAGGATCGTTTTCGCAAAATCTTGTCCTTTCACTAGAGATCCTAGCTAGAAATTTTTGAAAGGCTTTTGATTATGTTATAAATCGAAATCAGACGGAGATCCATAGAGTGTTTAGCCGTGGAATATTAGCAACTCGTGGCTCTCCTTATCTCTCGAGGGCCACGCGTTTAAACGCGACATAAAAGTTTACGATCGGGATTCGGCGAAGAGCTCGTTGTATACGTGTACGCGAGAAAGAGAGCTTCCATCCTTTACGACCTTCCTACTCGGACGGGACAAGATTCGTGACTTACACGCCACGAGTCGGTTAGAATTTCTACACAAAATTTTTCAGGCTTCGCATACGTTATATTCGTATACCTTTCCCTTGGAAAAGGAAACGCGGAGAAATCCTTCCTTTACCTTTGCCTAACAACGTGGAGAAAGCTTCTCCCCGCATGGGATGCATGCGCGTTCATTCTCGATCTTGCACGATCTGCAAACAGGGAATCGATTACTATAAAATTTGTCGGGGGAGGGGGAGGAATTCGGAGAAAATGCTGTTTTCCTAGGAAAATGGGGCGATTTGGGGGGGGAAGGAACGACTCTGACGAGTCTAAAAGGAGGGTGGAGAGGAAACGCGCTATAAAAGATGGCGAGTACGGCGTGTTAGCGTAATCTCGGCCCACGATTACGACCTCCACGTCTTCGAAGAAATCGTTTCTTCCCCTTCGTTGCACCCCTTCCCCCAATGTAACTTCGATCGAAGTATTCGCCTCGTCATTATTCCCCATTCTTTTTCTTTTCCCCTTCTTCTTCTTCTTCCAGTGCCGCCGGCCAAGCCGATCATCTACGACGCGAAAAGGAGGGACATGAGCAAACTTCTCGAGGCCTATCCCGAGGGAGCGGATCTGTTCCTCGTGTGCGAGGTTCACGGAGGTAAGCGGTTTCATGAATCGTCCCTGTGAAAATAAGCACACCTTTTCACTCGTATTTATATATTACATGTTTAACAAGGTTAGCGATCAAAACTCGGAATTTTTTCTCATGTTCGATCCGAACGAAAACATTTTTCATACATATATATATATATATATATTACTCGAGTAAATTTGTTATTTATTAAGCAGAAACTAAACGAAAAGATTGTGTGACAGAAGAGAACGTAATACCGATATATAAATGTAACAATGATAAAATGTAGGAGTGCAAAGGGTTAAAAGGAAGCCTTCTCTCTCCTCACCGATACCGAAAATAATGGATCGGCCGCGAGAAAATTGCTTCCGCCCGATTAGACGCGGATGAATTATTATAATAGCGATCGTTTGTCACGCAAAAAAGTTTCTCGCTTCGGGGCCGCATCCGTCATACTCGATCAAACTCTTCTTCTCGACGACAGCGTCGAGGCGAGGGGCGGTAGTTTCTCCTCCCCCCGGAAAAACTCGTTTCTCCGGAACCGAGGAAATTTAATAGAGGGAGAAACTCGAAGTCGAACTCGAAGTCTCGTCTCGTCTCCTTCGATACGTTCCCTCCGATCGAACGAAACCGAGAAGCTTTGTTCCACCCCGCGAGATGGATAAGATTGAACGAGATACGAATATCGGGCTGTTAAAATTGAATTTCGCGCGGTAATATCGAGAGCGTGGATAATCCTCCGCGCGTAAGAAAAAAAAAAAAAAGAAAAGAAGAAAACGAGAACGAGAAACAAGAGGAGGAGGAGGAGGAGGAGATTTTCGCGAACGGTCTTTCGAATTCTTGCGCGTCGGACGAAAAATCCCATTTCCTCGAACCGCGGGTATTCGTGGCTGGCGCGAGGCCAATCCCATTTACAGCCTCGCGTTCGCTTATTCGAGGTAAATACAAAATGAAATAGGCGAGCGGGGGGTGGAGGAGAAAGGAGGGAGACTACTACCCGTCGAAGAGTCCGGCGCGATTTTTCCACGACTTCTTCTCGCCCGATAGGTGGTGTCGCGTCGCCCGACGGATCCTCTGGATCCACGCCAATTTTAATCTTCGACGCCGCGACGCTCGCAACTTTTTTTTAAGAATTAGAATCATCAGGCGTGGCGTGTTAATCACCGTCGAGGAAAAAAGGGAGAAAAAAGTTGGACGCTTAATCGCTCGAATTTTGACGGTCATCGATCCATCCCTCCTCTATCACGATCGGTTTTCGTGGAAATGTAATAAAAGTTGAAAGCACTCTTGAACGTTGATACGTGGAAACGTAAAAAAAAAAAAAAAAAAAAAAAAAAAAAAACAAGGTATTTTTCCGCGCATTATACTCGATCGACGAACTAAGTTTTTCGAGAGGTTTTTCGACATTGTTTCCGACGAACGAAAATTTCGACAAAAATCTGCCCCTCTCGGCCAAACTTGGAAAACGTTTAATTTTCATTACGCGTTTTACTATCGGATGTAACGGAAAAACTGAAAAATTAACGAGTCTTAAAACTTTCCCCTCGATTCGACCAGGGAATTTTCCTTCTCTCCTTCTTCTCTTGTCCTCGAAGATTGCACGACTTTGCTCGCGGCCGTCCAGTTCCGCGCGCTTCCCCCGGATCACCGATTTGTCACTCGACGGAGGAAAAACGAATTTCCAACAACTCGGTTTCCAACAACTTCTCCCCTTCCGTCCAGGTAGTAACCTTACCTCGGCTGGCATTCGGTCGGCGAGGAAGGGAGTCGCGAGAATGGCAAAACCCGTCTATTCGCAACTTTCGATAAATTTATATTTTCCTTTCGTTCGGCGCACAACTCGGGCCGGAAAGCCCCGTATTCGTTCCACAACTCAAACTCTTGCCTGTTTACCGTTCTCTCCCTTGCCCGAAGAAATCGCTGATCCTTAGTAAAGAGCGGTTGAAAAACCTACGTATTCCTTCTCGATGGACCGCGAACGAGCTTCCGTTTCCGTTGCTATTTCGCGAAATTATTCGACCCGGCTTACGTACATCCGGGGAGGAATATAGAAAGGAGGTTCTTCTTTGCTTCCACGTTGTTGCAAACGAATGCGGACGAATAATTCGCAAGCATTTCGTAATTCGATTTTTGAGAATGTAATGACGAGAGTGTTTCGAATCGAAAGAATGTACAGTGGAGAAAACGTATTTAGTTAGATGTAATAAATATTTTACTGCGTTCGGCCGGTTAAACGTAATCGTAAATATTCGCCGCGAAGCGGTATCGCGATGGCGAGTGAACAAAAACTAGTGTAGCTTCAACTGTTGAAGAGAAATACGAGATGGTTAAAGATAAGATAAGCAGGTAATTCTACGCAGCTGCTTACGACAAAAAATTTACGACTTAACGGCTAAAACGATATGGGACGGTTAGACGTCGAAAGAAACCGTCGATCTCGTTCTTCGTTTCTACTTAAATAAATAAAATTGAACGCGAGAGAAAATAATCGTTCTATTGACTAGCCACTTTTGTCTATAATAATTTTAATAATAATTTTCACGGAATAGAACAGCAAGAGGAAATAGGCAAGTTAATAAGCAAAATCGAGATGGCGCTTTTTGGGAAGAAATGATATTTTCCGACTAAGTTTAATATTTTTAATTCGGATGGGCAAAATTACGTATGGTGGAAGAATCGGTCATCCAAAATGTATGTCCAACAGGTAAAACAGGGTGGTTCGTTAGTATTTATCGACTGGATAAATACAAATATCAACATATTCTAAAGAACGATCTCGAACACAGTGGCCCGTAAGTTGGGATTGTTGGAAGACTTCTACTTTCAACGGACAACGATTCTAAACGTACAGTTAAATACTCCAGCGCAGAGTCCAATAGATGAGCTGAAATAGGGCAAGAAGTTAAATAAATGTCGAGTATCTTGGAAGCGGATGCTTAAAGAGAAAAAAAATTGTAGAAATATGGAATTCTATCGATTAATATAATTTCATCTAAATCGCTGGAAGATCTCTACTGAAAACGAAGTATAATCGAAGGGACAATGGACGAACAAATATTGCGATATATACGCGGATAGCGCGTCGCTTGGCATAAGAACAACTCGAGGCGAAGGTATATTTACGTTGGCGTGGAGAATCAGGGGAACTCATTCTGGCCACGAGTTTAAATCAGTCGGATGAACTTGAACGGAATGTCGGCCCGTTCCACCGTTTCTTGTCTGACCCCGCGACGAGAATCCTTTTCAAACGACGGGGGAGGAGACTCAAGCATCCAAGCCGTGTCGAGAAAAATATTTTGCCCGAAAAACTTTTGGCGGAATAGTCGAAACAACATTTTTTTTTTCTTTTTTGTAAGTCGTACATAAGCGGACAAAGGAGAAAGAAAGAGAGAAAAAGAAAGAAAAAATAAAAAAAGAAAGCAACGAGCCGTCGTTGAATTTCAAAAATTCCGGCGGTCGTGTTTCTACGAGTTTCGGTTTCTCTCCTGTGTGCCCCGCTTCTGAAACGGAGGCGGAGGATCGCGTCTCTTTCCGCGAGAAATTCACGGTGCAAAGGGGATCGGAATTTTGGAATTTTATAAACTCGAGACCCCGAGATTCTTCTCGTGGTCGGCCGTTTCTTATCCGGCCAGGAGGGAGAAAGAATGGAAATCCAAACGTAGTCGAACGAACGTGCCAACGAATCGAATCGAAATCTCTCCATCCGTGCGAGACGAATATTTTAACTTGCCTCGATCGAATCGCGTGTATGAGATTTCGTAAGCGAGATCTCGCGGAGAATAAACGAAACACCGCGGTTCGAGGCAGTGTTCGGAGGTGAGAAGAGAGCGATCGTTAAACTCGAGAAAACAAAAAGATCTCGTTCCGCGCGCGCGAATAATAAGTAAAATCTTTGGAAAACGCGGGACACGCACGACGACACCCGAATGAGATTCGCGTAACTGTCTTTGGCCTTTTCCTCGCCTGCATTGTTGCCAACACGTCGCCGTGAAAGTAATTTTCACAGGGTGGAGCGTTTTGTGTTTTCAAACGTGACTCGCGGCTACACAACTCTCCATTCTTCGACCTCGTGGACCGACCCGCGCAAAACCGTGCCGTGTTCTCCATTGTTCGCCCGATCTTTACTCTTCCGCCTTTTTTAACCTTTCCCAAACCGCTGGCACGGACAAGTAGAAAATTTCCAATTCGGAAGGAAGATCCGCCAATGATCTCTCGTTTAACAAAATCGAATGAAACGAATTTACGAATATAAATTCTTCGTTATTAAGAATCGAAATTATGGGATCCCTTAAACGAAATGATCCTCGCACGAATGTAACGGTCGTAAAATTCGTCCTCTATCGTGCCATCCTTCTCCTCGAGGCGCGCCATTATTAGAACCCGAGTCGACTCGCGAGCCTCGGTGATATATATGTATTCACACACACACACACATATATATATATATCCCCACTTCATCCACGATACCAGGTGGAAGCCCGGAGAGCAATAAAGATCCCCCTCCACCTTTTCTACTTCCACTCTCAGGGATGCGGCAATGAAATAATTCCCCGCCAGTAGCGGGCAAGTTGAGAGCGTGTCACACTCACCCTCGATTCTCTCCCTCTCCTTCCACGATCCACACCGTCTGCCCGCACAACTTCCTCTCCCGACCAACTTGTTTTCCCTCGACCATCGTGCATGCATGCCCATCATCCGTGCGGAGGAACAAAAAAAAAAAAAGAAACAAAGAAACGCGTTGTACACGCGTTGTATAATCCCCTTCATCGAAACCGCAATGTGGCGCGTATCCGAATCGCGATAACGTTTGGCAGGCAGGATTTTTCTCTTTTTTAATCCCTTGATTACGGCAAACTTTGAGACTTCTGCTATAGAAAGGTAGGAATTCAGTTGCAATGCACTGCGAGAAAAGGCGAAATTTTGGGCAGGAATGCATTTTTGTCGTGAAACAATATTATTCAATAATCGAAAAACTGAATTTCATTGCATCAAAGCAATATCGTTTCGTTGTATTCCGAACTAATTCGAAACGTGGATAAACGCGTAATCCTACATTTCTTACATTCAATTATATTATACGTAAAAGCAAAATTAACATTCGCTTTCCTCCAACCGAGATAAGATCTATCGGAATAATATTATTGATAAAATTTTAATATATTATATATTCACAATAGTAACTTAACTCGACGCCTGCGAAGCGAAAAGAATGGAACAATTCGAGAATCGATTAATTCTAAATAATCCCTTTGGGAAAATTTAATTGTTCCAGTAAATTGAAAGCCGGTCGAACTATCGTTTACGGTATTAAGACGCGTCGTGGATTCGATCTTTATATCGTTTTCCAAGAAAAGACAAATTTACGCGAGTAATTAAGCGTGGGAATTAGGTTGGTGGAGCGCAACCGGTACATCGGGACCGATAAATTGACGAGCAGACGTCGGACCGACCGGGTTTCCATCGAGATCGGTGGCGGCCGAATAAGACCCGTCGAGCGGCGTGATTGACGACCAGCCAGCTTCTCTGTCTCTCTCCCCTTGTCTCTGTCGCCCGTTCAGATTAGTCGGGCCGCTCGAATTCGACTGACGAACAGTCAGGCCTGTTTGCCACGGAACGCTCGGCCGGTTTACTTACACCGTCTCTCGGTGTCTCCTACGAGTGGATCACGAGCTCGTCGTTCCTTGTTCAACGTTTCGAGAAATCTCGAGTTCCTACGATAAATTGGATATGTACGAAGAAAAATGATAGAAAGGATTATTCCAATCGCGGTTGTCGATAACAATTCCCTTGGAAAATTATTTCGATTATCGGTAAACGATTTCTCCGGCGTCCCTTCCGATCTTTACTTATATTTTTCCCGGTAAACGTTCGAACAAATGTATCGTTTTTTCGTAAAGGGGACCTCCTCCCTTTTGGCCCAAAGTGCACGATCTATCGTATCGATGAAATTGGAACTTGGAAAAAACAAAAGGGATAAAATAGGCGTTCGAAGGAAAAGGGGAAGGAAAATTGAGATATATCGTAATTTTAATAAGAGAATCTGTAAACTTGGTGCCCGTATTGATTTTGTTTTATCTCGGTAAATTTCGTTACGGTTACTTACGAACAGTTTTGTCCGGATTGAAGTTGGCCAAGGCAAAGTTTGCAAGAAGCAATTAGGTGTCCTCGGGTCGGGATGAAACAGAATGGCAAATAGCGCGTTTATGCGTTTCTAAGATGGGTTGTCTGTTCGATTTAGGTAAACCTAGACCCCGAGTCACGTGGTTCCTGGAGTCGCAGACAATCGATGCGCCGACGGAGATCCGGGAGAGCCAAGGGCCAGCAGGTGAAACCAACGTCGTAACCATAAGCAACGTGACGCTGAAGGGTCTCACGAGAAGTCACTACCACGCCAAATTGTTCTGCAAAGCGAACAATACTCATTTAGCGCCGCCGCCCACCACTGCCGTCATCATCGAGCTTCACAGTGAGTTGTTGTTACTATTAACGCGCGTTTAATAAATCGAAAAAGAAACGAATGAAGAAACGAATGGATTATTACGTGTGCAAAAAGTTCTTCCCCCCTTTTTTCCTCAAATTCAAGAACGATTCCTCTAACTTTCTCGATGCACGATCGTCGTCTTCCAAATTAAAATTTCCGACTTTTAATCATTGCTATCACTTTTTGCACGTTCCGCAAAAAGATACAATGGCGCGCACGAACCGCGTTTCATTAGCTTCGACGGCCGATCTCCTAAGCTGGAAGGCAAAAAAGTAAACAGCGAGGCGAACGACGCTGCTCGCAACACGCCATATTGCTCGAAATTGTTGCACGGGACTGGAAACACTTAGAGCGCTCGTCACGGCTCTTCTTAAAAACAAAAGAACGCTGTTTCAGATGGCGCCACGAACTCGGTCGAAAGTTTCGACGAGGTGGAAGAAAAAAAAAAGGAACTTATTCGCAGGATGCTTTCGAATCGTTCGGTCGAAAATTTTCTCCCGAGGGACTCGAGAGACGGTTTGGCAATTAACCGTCCATAAAAGATACAAGATTTCAATGTAGAAAGAAAGAAAGAAAGAAAAAAAAAGAACAGCAGGCAATTTGTCCCTTCATCGAGCCGTGAAAGCCAACTCGGTTATGTTAATGAAACGATCAATAATTAACGAAGCTAATTACCCGTGATGCAGGAGAGATCGCTCCGCTCGAAACTCTACCGTTTGACCCACCGCCAGATTTCGTTGTACTCGTTCACCCGAGACACGCCTATCCACGCGAGACCGACTGTATTTCCCTTTTATCCTTCCTCTGTCTTCCTCTCTCTCTGTTCGTCTTTTTCGACGAGCAAGCCTCGAATTCGAAATTCGAGTCGTGTGTAACAAAGACGAGCAACATTTTTCTTTTCAAACGCGAAAACGCGATGGATATAATTTAATTTTTGATGAAGATTTTTTCTCCCCCCATTGAACCAGGGCCGGAAATGAACGAGAGAGAATATGGGGAATATCAATGGGGAGAGGAGGACAGGTTAGATCTCGACGAGATGAAATTGAAAACGTTTTTCGAACGATTACAACCGGTGAGGAGGGGAGGGAAGAGAGAGAAAGAGAGAGAGAGAGAGAGAAGCGATACGTACGTTCGACAACGGGCGCGGAATCACGGTTGAAAAGCAATCAGAACTCCGACGTCGTTAATAAACGTTACTTTTGCGAGATCGAACGTGGCGACCGGCCACGTCCACCAGCGACATTCCATTCAATTTTCGCGGAATGCGCGCGCAGCGGGGAAAAATCGTCCCATTCGATTTTTATCGAAATTTCTTAAACAAACGGTTCCCAACGGTTTCTTGCTACTACGCGTCCCTATTTTTTAAATAGATGTAATATAATACAGACATAATATTTTAAATTATATATCATAATTTTCGCCATTTTTGCCATTTTCGCCATTTTTACCATTTTCACCATTTTGGCCATTTTGGCCATTTTGGCCATTTTCAAAATCTTCCACTCCGGATAATTTGTTAATTAAACGAACGTATGAAAATGTAAGAAAGATAAAAAAGTTTTGGCGCCTCCCAGGTTGGAAACCGCGGTCTCAAACGTTCGAAAGGAGAGAGAGAGAGAGAGAGATTTATCCGTCCGGGATAAATGTCGGCGAAGATAAGAAGTTAATTGTTTTCTCGTCGAAACGAAGAGAAGTGGATGGATTTAATCGTGGAAAAAAGGAGGGAAATATTCGAAGCGGAAAAAATACGCATTCTCTTCTATTACGAATTCGGGCGTGGCAGAGTTATACTTGGACTTGATATTAAACTCGTTTTTCGGATCGTTTCGCGATATCGACCTGCTCCCCCTGCTCCCCCTCCGACACCAAACCGGGTTTCGCTCCAAATTTCCACCAATCGGCCACGCCAATCGACCGTTTCTCCTTCGAATTCAAAGTCACCACCGCCCGATTCCAATTCCAACTCGTTCGAACTCGTCCAATGAGCGAAGGAAGAGTCTTCACGCTTCGCAGACGACCTCGCTTCTACCGATCAAAAATTACGTCGCGCGAATGTATTCTCGAAACTTTGCTCAAAATATCAGATTCCAATTTTCGTAAAAAATTTCGGTTTGGTTTTGGCGCGAAAATAATTTGCAAAAATTGAAATCGATTGGCTATATATCTAATCGCGGGTTGTTTCTTAATCGATTTGTTCAGGATTTTCATAATTCTGTTCAAATATAGGACTTTAAGCGCACTTTTGATCCGCAATTTTTTCGCTCGAACGTGTGAACTGTCGACATTCGAGATATTATCTCTAACTCCGCTCCCACTTTCGATTTGTCTCTGTTTAATATGGATTTCGTCCCACTTCTCGTTTCCACACTTGAATTTCTTCGAAAGTTAACTTAATATTTCGACGTGGCTTATACTCGAATAAATTCGTTCGCTTCTCGAAAAACATTAATACAAAAGAAAAATATGTCGTTGTTTTTCAAATTTGTTTAGATTAACAATTTTCGAACATTTTATCCGACTCGTTGAAACGACGAAAAGTAAAACAGAAAGACGTATTAACAGTTATTATTATCATATTATATTCTCTTATATTCCGTTATTATATCCTGTATAACGTTATTTGATTCCAAAGTGTAATTAAAAAGCGTGTTTAAAACTTATAAATACGCAAGTTTCGACGGAAAATTTTTCGTTTCAATAAACACCGTGTCGAAGGTGAGGCGTAAACGCTGACCATTTCTCGAGCACTTTTTTTGGCGCAGCGAGGATAATTTTTTTAATATCTTCCAACAAGATATATCTGCGTTCGAATAAAAAAATTAGAAAACAATATTGTAAGTTAAAGGATTCGAAACAAACAAGTTTCGATCGAAATTTCGAAAGATCCGCTTGCAAAATATTGGAAAGAAAAAAGAATCGAAATTCCATTTCCTCCTCTCTCTCTCTCTCTGCAGTTTCAGAGATGGAAACGCGCGAGAAGAGACTCTGGTTCGAACGAGAGAACAGTCCGAGTGGAGCTCTCGAAGGGGCAGAGTTGGATCGAGAAGCGATATTAACACACCGATCTCCAAACTTCCTATTATCCTTCCTCGACATCATCCTCCAGTCGAACTTGTATATTGCTCTCCTCCCTCCCTCGGCAATCGATCCCTCGGACGCGAGCAGTGAACGAGGGAAATCGAGAAAATTCAAAAAGTTCGTAACATTCAAGTTGAACGTTTAAATTTATTTCCACGGGATTCGAAGAGCGATTAATTTTTAATCGAAATCGGTGTCCGTTTCTAACCGCGTGAATTATACACTCGAAAGTGTGCAAGTCGAAGAATATTTCCTCCTTTCGTCGATCCAGTTAAAAATTTTACTACCAGCCAGGGATGGGAATTGGAATTTATTCGCGTCAATTATCCGGACAACTCGAGTCGTCGAGCTATACCACTTGCTCCCTCCGCTTCAGGAAAAAGAAGCATGGTGAGATTAGCCGCCGTCGATCGAGGATAATTTTGTTATTCTTTCGCGCGAGAGGGTGGAAAATAAGCGTCTCTCTCTTTCTCCGCCTCTGTTAATCTCGGACTAATTGGAGGCGCTTCGACGACCACGACGACGACGACGACGAAACGTAGGTCGAATAATTGGAGGATTCTTGATCCGTACGGTTGAAATTCTAACGAGGCGAACGTTCCTTCTCCCTCGACCGAAAAATGCATCCACCGTCGTCGTTTGCATCGTATACATCTGCATATCTCTGAATTATTGAAAAATCTCTCGATTCGTAAGAATTCGAAATCGTCGTTTCGAGTGGAGTGGCGCGTCTCCTACTCGGCCGTTTGCCCGTTTCGGTAAATCGATAACAATTATAGTAACGACGGCCTGTTAAAAAGCCCGCACAGAAGAAGAAGAAGAAGAAGAAGGGGACACATTTTCTCTGGAAACTGTTCATTTTCATTAGCGGCGTGGAACAAAAGTCGTTAACAAGTGGATGAATCTCGCGTTCATCCACTTATCTCCATTACAAAAGGAATCGGATCCTGCAAAAAAAAAAAAAATCGATCCTCTCCTCTTCTCCCTCGCCCCGCTAATTAGTAAGAAAACTAACGAATCCCCTGTTCTCGTATGAAATTTACTCCCCCCAAGCTCGTTAGCCTTTTCAGTATTTCTGAAACGCGGTGAAAAGGAAGCAAACGTAATCCAACGTCGATCATCGTCCACCAATTTTTTTTTTCCGCTCCTTCGCTGACGATTATTCGATGGTCGACGAATATGATGAGAGGGGAGGGGAAGAGGAGGAGGAAAGGTTGAAACTCGATCGCGCGTGAACGAAACGAGACAGTCGCGTGGGCTCTCTCTCTCTCTCTTCTCGAGCTACTTTTCGAGCTACCGGGGCAACTAAGAGCGGAAGGATTTCGACCATTCTCGGGACGAATAAACTTGGACGGTCGTAAATCTTCGCCCCTAATAACCAAACTTACGCCAACCTAATAACTTTCCTCTCCTCCGCGACGGGGACGACGACGACGGTTGGGAAACGGCTCGTTTCCAAACGCGACAACGGAATCCACGGAATTTGCAGAATTCGAACGATTATTTCCCTCCGTTTACAAGCGGTGCTGAACACAACTTCTCCCGCTATCAGGCGAGCAAGTTCTTTTTTCTCTTCGAATTCAAGATTTTATTACGTACGAATTTTATTTCCGCCGATTCTTCTCACGGTTTGGAAAGAACTTTCTCGATCGTCGCCTCTTCCAAATTAAAATTTCCAAATTTAAATCTTTGATGAAGACACCACGTTCTCTTCGAACGCAAAAAGTAAACAGCGACGCGAACGACACCACATCGCTCGAAATTGTTGCACAAGACTGGAAACACTTAGAGCGCTCGTCGCGGCTCTCCTTAAAAACAAAAGCTCCTCGTTCAGATGGCGCCACGAGCGGTAAGTTAATTCGAACTCGGTCACGAGTTGTGATCGTGGAAAGAAAAAGAAGGAA